ATACTATATAAATTCATTTAAATTTTCACTTGAATGTATCTAAGCCTCTTAGAAATATTCCACTAAATAGAAAAACCAATTCTGAATACACCAAAGGTTAATATATAAATAACTAGAAATCTAAGATAACAGATTAAAAAAAAATGGAAATTATTTAAAACAGAGCACTTAATATTTACATAACCCATTTTCCCATCTTCTATATCAATAAGGATATGCCATTGTAACTAATCTTTGTAGTGACCCTGAAGCATTGCAAAAATCCTTAAAATGACTTCTGAATTAAAGAAAAGGTGAATCAGACATTTACTGCGTACAGGCTCAGTTTGTTAGAGGTCAGTTAAGCAATAAGCCCCTTTTCTTTTCAACAAATGCCAATTTGCTGCGATTTTATTTGTTTTTATTTTTTTAAAGATTTTATTTATTTATTTGACAGAGAGAGACATAGCGAGTGAGGGGAACACAAGCAGGGGCAGTGGGAGAGGAAGAAGCAGGCTTCTCACCGAGCAGGGAGCCCGATGTGGGGCTCGATCCCAGGACCCTGGGATCATGACTTGAGCCAAAGGCAGACGCTTAACGACTGAGCCACCCAGGCACCCCCAATTTGCTGCAATTTTAAAAGAAATAAAAAAATACAAACTCTATAAGGACAGGGTCTTTATTTTGTCCACTTCTATATTTCCAGCACCTAAAACATGCCATGTATGTAGTAAGAACTCAGTAAATACCTGCTAAGAATACATGAGATTTATGATTTATATGCTAATTTTTAAAATCAATTTGAGTCTTAGAAGCAATATCCACATATCTGGTGCTTCTGCTTTCAGTTCTAACTTCGTTATTTACTTGCCTTAAGAAAGGCACTTAAAATTCTTGGAGCTCTCTTCTTCAATCTGTGAGTTAGGAATGCTAAAGTTGCTCTCCTACCTCACATGATCTTTTGTAAGGATCAGTTAAGATAACGGAAAGGAAAATATTTTGTGAACTATTAAACACCATATTAAGTGTCAATGTTAACTGTTTCAAGTGTTTTACAGATTAAGTTAGGCCATATGAAATGTACTGATGAAATTTAAATCTCTTCACATTAACCTAGTTAAGATATTAAACACCTTTACATTTTCCTCAAGTGTATTCAGTATTTACCTATAATTTGACTCATCTTTTTATAACTAAAGCCTTTCAGGATCTGTATTTTATTGATGGATGCTAAAATGTTACTACTAATTCACATATTTGGGCTAGAATCAGGATTTAACCCTCCCTCTGGTAATATTAATGTGGGAGAGAGAAAAAGATAGGACCTGACATCATAAAATTTAAATTTCAGCTAAATCATCTTCTAGTTGTAGCACAACTTTTACATTTATAAAATATATTTTTAAAGACTTTACCTGAGAGAGAGCAAGAGCCCGAGAGAGCGCATGAGCAGGGGGAGGGAGAAGGGCAGAGAGAGAAGCAGACTCCCAATTCCCCAATTCGGGGCTGGATCCCTGGACCCTGAGCTCATGACCTGAGCAGAAGGCAGATGCTCAACCGACTGAGCCAGGCAGGCGCCCCTAAAATTTTTTTAATTAACATTTATTAGGCACTTATTGTCAGGTGCTATTCAAAGCATTTTACATCTCAATTCTCCTAACAGCCCTAGGTAGTTGTTACTACTGTTATCTATCTACGAGGTACTATTCTCACTTTTCAAATAGGGAAACCAAAACAAAAAGGTTAGACAACAGGCCCAAGGTCAGAGAGTAAGTGGAGGGCCATGCTGGGACTCAAGCCCGGGCCAAGAGCTGCCAAGGTGCACAGCTTTAACCACTAGGCCACATGGCCCCTCCACTGCCAGCCGCCTCAATTTCCTTCCCAGGTAAGGGTACTCCACAGGATTCTTTGTGAAGATCAAAGGATATACAAACTTTTTTTTAAATGCTTGATAATAGGCAAGAACTATATGATTAATACTAAAGACAAAAATTTACAAGTATTTTAAATAAACTATTCTCCCCCTTATGACCTTTTTTTTTTTTAAACCAGTTCAAACTGTAAAGTACAATGTTCTTTTGTCTTCTTTTGGCAGGGAGGGGTGTATATGGGGAGGAGGCAAGTCAGTGTTCATTAAAAATAAAAGGAAAATAGCATAGCAAAGTGGGATCATTTCAACAGGCTCTTAAGTATAAAGATCCAACACAGAAAAGACTTACATAATAGCCCTGAACTAAAGGGACAGAAAGTTATGAAACATCTGAGTTAATACCAAAAGATCAATAGACTAAATGTTATCTAAATATATTTCAATTCGACAGAAACTTATGTAATCTCAGTGGGAAACTTCTGATTTTGGAAAAGGTTTTCAAGGTTTCCTTTCTTGTCAACAGGAATGAATTTGGATGGGTGTGGGCTAACTGCAGACTAGATTATCTTTTTCTAGTTAATAGTGTTTAGTTTTTCATAAGAATTCTACAAAGAAATTGTAGTGGTCTTTTTTCATTATCAACAATGAAAAGTATCATTAGTAACTCCAACTGTACAATTTTAAACACATTTCAAATGCCTATCTAGTTAAGTAGCTGACTCTGAAAAAGTTAAAACCTAACTACAGATTTTTAACTCTACTAAACGTTTTTATTTATCCCAAAAATTGTTAGAACACTTCATATCTGTACTTTACCAACTACAATTTGTTAACTCTAAGATTTTTTTCCCTATGTTGCACTAAAAATTTATGGGATGGAAAAAGTTATCCTTGTTACTAACATGCAGACACATTTTTGAGGATGGAATTAATGATTTTTGAAAGACCTCAGAAGAGGGAAAAATAGGCTCATGAGGTGAAAGAAGACTTGAGTTCTAGTTCCACAAAAGTAAGATTTAAATAGCTGAATAGGCAAAATTCCCATGTGCTGACCATGCAGACTGTCTTTAAAAAAAGGAGAGTAGATACAGGTTTTTTTCTGTTAAAAATAATATCCTCAATCCAAGGCCCCAAATCTTCCTTAATTAAAAGATTACGGGTTATAGAACATTAAGCCAGACCTTAAATTAGTAAATGTGCTCACTGTTCTGTGGATTAAGACCTGAATTCTTATTAAGTGCCTAATTTAATTCTTATGGAGTGCACTATTTAATACTGCATAGTGCTATCAATAAGTTTCAGCCTTTATTTAATACTAGCAACAAAGAAAACTTCCCTGGAAATTTATCAACATTTTCAATGGATGAGCTATAAAGCCAGGACCAACCCCAGTGCAACATTTAGGAGAAATGGAGGATGTAATGTTGCCTGTACAACCAGCTACCTGTGTGACTGTAGGCAAGTCATGTCACTGCCCTAGCTTCTGCTTCGTTTTTACAATGAGGACCATGGCCTAGATGGTCTGCACTTCCTCACTCAAACTTTATTTACCCAGAAAGGCGGAGCTGTCTGTATCAGAATTTTGTATTCCAACTAGATCTCTTTTGTTCGGGGTCTACCATTCTACTCCATTTTATAACTGCCTACACTTCCCATAAAGATACTGAAAGATATGAAAATATGCTAAGTTTATGTTTTGAACTCTAAAGGTATTAAATAATATACTATCACTAGTTCAAAATGACTAAGCACTTAGGATAAAAGACCCACAAAAAGAGAGCTTCAGTTACAGTTTATAAATTTACCTAATACCTAATATCGGTTTATATTTTAGATGTCTCTCTCCGCGATTATTCCCGCCGGCATTATTTCATGCCAATAAAGACACCAATCTTGAAATATGCTTTATTTAACACAAGATTTAACAATGACACTATTGACATTTTGGGCCTGATAACTGTGTGGGAGGCTGTCCGGCGCACTCTCCGATGTTCAGCAGCATCCCTAGCCTCTACCCATGAGATGTACCGGCACTACTCTCAAGGGGTGGCAACCAAAAAAATCTCCAGGGATTACCAGATACTGCTCTAGATAATGTCCTCTGGGGGTAAAATCCCCCCGGGGTGGGGGAACCACCGATTTAAAGAACTCTTCATTCTCCCTAGATAAGTCTGGCTGTGTCCCCTAAAACCACCTTAAGAGTGCTAACCTAGGCTAGGAAGTCGAAGCTGCTTCTGAAGAAACAGACAAAAGATCTAAAAGGCTCTTCCCACAGCCTGATCAAGAATGGAAAGGCAAACAAACGTGTCAAAGAACTCATCTGAGACTACCTCTTCATCTCGACCGTGAACTAGGGGTATTCGAAAAGTAAGCACACGTGTGTTTACGAAATAAGTATGGTCTGAGAATTGGTAAATCATCAAGAGGAACCAGTGCTGCAGACATTTTCAGGTAAGTCTGGACACCCCCTGGCAGCTCCGACACCCACCCCAAGCCCAGGGGCCGGCGGGGCCTCCCGGAGCTGGGTGCGGGCGCGGAGCTCCCGCCACGCCCACCGGACGTCACCCGTTACACAACCCCCCCCCCCCCCCCCCTTATGCAATTCTGCCCTCCCGCGGCTTCCAATTGCCCCAGTGACTTTTGTGGGGTACGACGGTAAACGTTGCACGCCTAGCCTCGGTTGGAGAGATCCTCTCCCCGCCCCTGCTGTCGTTGGCCCGCGGCGGACTCGGCCCGGCCCGGCCTGGCCGGCCAATTACAGGAAAGAGCGCGGCAGGAAGCGAGCGGCCGCTCCGGCTCGCCCAACTTCCACCCCATCCCGCGCTCCGGCGGCCTGGCCCCGACCACCCGCTCCGCTCGGGACGCTTCCTCCTGACCGCAAGGCCGCGGCTGAGGGAACCCCGAGCCTGTGCGCCCCTCCCCGCGCCGCGTCACAGTCGGCTCCGAAGGCGATCCCCATTGTGACCGAAGCACCCCGGGGCGCCGCCCCCTCCCACACCCTCCAGGACCCCGAAACCCTACAAGCGGGAGTGAGGCGGCCTCGGGGAGGCAGAAAAGGCCCCCTGGGGCGCAGACGAGCTCCGGGTAGCCGGCCCGTCGGGAAAAGGAGGGTGGGGTCGCCCGGGCCCACGCCGCATCCCCGCGCGGTCACCTGCTCGCAGCGCCTCGCAGGCGGCGGCCAGGGCCTCCCGGTAGCGCCCCTGGTGCAGCAGTTCCCCGAGCCGGCCGGCCGCGCGGGCTCGCTCCCGCTGGCCCGGGAACCACTTCTCGGCCAGGTGGTTGAGGACGACGCTGGTTCTGAAGCCCGAGGCGGCGATGGCGGCGGCCAGAGGCGGCGGCCGCGAAGTGGTGCCCTCAGCATCAGTGGCGGCGGCGGGCGGCAGCCGGTCCCGGCAGAGGCGGCAGCGGGCACGGAGCTCTCTCCGCAGGCAGCGACGGCAGTAGCTGTGGCCACAGGGCACGGTCACCGGCTCGCTCAGGAAGCCCCGGCAGCCCAGGCAGCTGAGCAGCCCGCCCGCACCGGGGTCCGCGCCCGCTGCCAGGGTCGCGCTCCAGCCCAACCCGTGGCGGAGCCGGTAGTTGAGTACCAGGCAGTCCACCAGGGTGCCGAGGCACTCGGGCCTGACCGGGGCCCCGCGGCGCAGCGCCGCCGCGTACGCCTCCAGCGCTCCCTTCAGGTGGCCGCCCAGTGCCAGCAGCTCGCCGCGGTGAAGCAGCAGCTCCCAGCGCTCCGACTCCGCCGCCGCGCGCTCCAGCCGGTCGCCGCTGCCGCCGCCCACTTCCCAGAACCGGCCCCGGCTCCGCGGCGTGGGGGCCATCTCCCGGCTCCCTCCTGGGGAGCTCCTCGCCACGTCCGGAGAAGACATGGCCCGCGGAGGGCTGCTCCGCCGCCGCCGCCCGCCGCCACGGTCGCGGAGCCTCCGGGGCGCGCGGCTCCGCACGCGGCCCGCGAGCTGGGGGGCGTGGCGCGCGGACACAGCGGGGCGGCGCGCGCCCGGGAAGCCCCGGGGGCGGGGCCTGGCGGGCGCGGGGCGGGGCGGAGCTTCGCTGAAGCGCCCGGGACTCCCCCGCACGGCCTGCGCCCCGGGTCCCGGAGGAGCCTACCGCCTGGCCCCGCCCCTACAGAAGCCCCTCCCGGGGAGGAACCCGAGGTCAGATGATCTCCCAGCGGGGATCTAATTGGCTTTTCCCGAAATAAGGGCCTGGCGAGTAATTGAACAAAGCCTCTAGGAGCCCAGGCCTCCAGCCTCCTCGCTTTTCCTCTGGACGCCTACCCTCACCTGGCAAGCCTTCTCTCCTAATGCCTGCTTGCTGGGTGCTTTTCTGCCGGCGGCTAGTCTCCCGGGACTAAAGCCGAGATCGCCTGCACTCCCCCGACATACCCGGCGGCCTGAGTGGGGACCCGCCCTCCCTCCCTGGCGGGTGGGAGCTTCCCCGTGTAGATGTCAGGTGTACGTCTGCATTTTCTTTACACCCAAGTTACAGACGGACATGTAGAGGCAGAGGACCTAAGAATGCGCGAAGTCAGTCTGATGACTTGGTGACTCCTCAAGTCTAGGCTAGGTCAACTTTAGAAACAAAATAACCCCACCCACATTCCTGAGCAGACTCCCTCCAGAGGGCAAAACAGTTTTCCAGGGTGGCAAGTTACTGCTGCCTTTCCAGTTTAAAACTCACCCCCACATTCAGGAAGAAAGCCCACAGGTTCCCAAGGTGTCAGACGGTCCTCTTCACATCTCTTTCAATGCTCCACAGCTGGCTAAGGCCTATATTTGACATTTTTAAAGAGAAACCACCAAGATGAATAGTTTTCATATGTCACAGTAACCCTACAACCCAAGCAGGGTCTGCAGTATTGCCAACAGAAGAAAAAAAAAAAAAAGATCTGGGTTTTATATAAGGGACTATATGTCCTTTAAACTTGATGTCAGAGTTTAAAGCTCTCAGCTGAAAATATAGATTTGATTATAGGCTACTAGATTGTTAATGCTGGAAGTGACATAGAACTTTTAGTTCTTTTTCAGATGGTTAGAAACAGTGACCCAGAGAGGGAAGGTTACCTGCCTCAAATCACACAGCTAATAATATACAGAGGCTCTGCTCCCTTCTTTCATTTCACTGTTAGGTTACTATGTTAGATCTTAGAAATATGTTACAGGAGATTTTCAAAATGAAGTTGGTAAATGGAATGTTAACCTGAGCATGCTATGCCTGAAATTGGCTAACGTTTAATTAACATCCTTCTTTATATGGAACAGGCAGTTAGGCTCAAAACTGCTTTGAGTTACATATGTTTTTACTACACAATGAACAAATTTTGTAACTTCAGAAAAGATGTAGATATATTGCCCCAAAAGGAACAAGGAAAAAGCTTGCTGAGGAAAAACTGAGTTCCCACTCCGACGGGGTGCCCTGGCAAACTGGTTCATTTACCATTCCCATTACACCTGAAACAAACTGTAGCTAAGAAACAAGGAGCAACTCCTAATCTTTTGAGGTGGGGAATATTAGGATTAATTCATAAGCATAACCTTGAATTTAATCCTCACCCCCCCATATTACTACCTTCCCTCAATATTAATAAGAATGACTTTAGTCAGATGCCCACATACTCATTTGAGACTTGAAACAATAAGTGGTAAAACAAATATCCATATGTAGATGGACATTGACTTTTTGTGAAACATTCCTGTCCTTAACAGCTGCTGACAAAAATGTACAATGGTAAATAATACACGTGTTCATGATTATACATGAAGTATAAATTGATAAATCTGCTTATAGTTCTTTCAGATATAGTTCGAATCAGGTTTTATTATGGAATTCCCTCCCCCCCAAAGTAAAATGTATGGTTCAGAAAATAGTGTGAAGTATCATCTGTCATTTGGAGTTTCTTTCCCTAATAAATGTGACATGACCACATCTGATTCTGGTGTGAAATAAAATGGTATAATTACAATAATGTAAGAGGGGGAAAAAATGGGACCGTGGGAGGAATCTTGCCGTGATCTCCTTGGCATTTGTGAATGGTTATAATTCATGTTTGCTGGTTTATACATTTACATAACTGGTTCTCATTTATGTAACTTATTTATGTAAGAGACTGTACCGCCTCTCTGGCCTTTGTGTGCTGCACAATTTCCCTCTGAAACAGGAAGTCTGGGGCAAAACAATCCCAGACTGTAGACAGGTCACTCTTCCATCATTCCTTGCCACCAAAAGAGGATATGTATGCACTTTGATGTGACTGCCTTTTAAATTAAGAGGAGAGAAAAATTAGTACCTTTCTTCATTCATTTTCCAAAGTTCGGACTTGGGTCTCTGGCTCACCAGGCAGGCTGCAGAGGAGGAGAGGGAACCCATGAAATAGCCCCCTGGCCGGAAGGAGTGCCCTGGGGTGAAGCTCTCCCCTCTTTTCCTGCGAGCGTAAAGTAGTAAAATCATGAGATTTGTATTTCATTTCAGTTTTTTAGTGTTGTCTTCTAAAATAGATCAGTTATGTAAGAGAGTAAGAAGAAAAGCATATCTGTTTCCTAATTTGGAAAATGCTTATCACCATCATTCCCTTCCTCCCCCCCTCCCCCCGCCACACCAGAAGGAGACTTTTCCTGATATAGTTAGGTAAACTCCTATTTAAGAACAACGTAACATAGTGCTTTTCCTGGACACAAGTCAGCTGAAGATGTGTATTTGAGCCTTTTTTTTTTTTTTTTTTTTTGCCGTGGGTGAATTTACCATTTGTTTCTTCACATCCTTACCATTAAAAAAGAAAGACCGAATTTAAGCTTTAAAGAGCCAAGCAAAATTATGTCCTCTTCCTGATTTATTGCAGTTGGTAACATTCTAGTCACTGCATGGAAAACAGTAAACTCTAAAGTCCAATATAATCAGTACACACCGAAGAGCATATCTCAACATAACGCACAGATGAAAGGGTCTTCAGAGACCACCTCTCATAGCCCTTATTTTATGTGTGTGAGAAACTCCTAGTTTAACGGAAGTCATACTGGAGGGGCAATCTGGGGACCTGGGGCTGCCCATTTTTGTGCTCTCTATCTGGAAGGAAGTCATCTGGCCTCCTGGAGCCTCATTTGCCATCTGTAAAATGAGGGAACTGGAACCATCTCTCAGGTGCCTCTGCCTCTGGAGCTGAGCCCTAGGGGTTTGTTTGAACACAACTGAGAGGAGGCAGAGAGTCTTCCAAACTCAGGAACACAGCAACGTGACACCTGTTACATTTTCGCAGAGGCAAGGCTGAGAATAGAAGAAGGGGCTATCAGGAAGTACACTTTGCTGATGCACACCCAGGCCCATCCAGGGGAGGGGAGACCAATCTCTGGGACGTGAACGTTTCCAGTCACAGACCAGGGATCTCCCACTGCACACACTTCCTCGCCCCTACTGTAATTCTGTGAGAGGCTGGAGAAAAGTCGGGGGGGGGGGGGTTATATAACTTGGGCATTTGTAGGGAAGTTTATATAAGATGCTAAAAATACAGTATATGATTGCTATAATGGTGTTCTAAGTGAAAAGCCCTAATGAGGACAACCTGAGTAGGTTAAATAGAGGTGATGCTAAATAGATATGTAAACCCAATTGTCTGCAGTGACTACTGTCTAAGCAAGTACAGTTTACTACTCATTATTAAAATATTCTGTTATCTTCATGGGGAACACTGTCGGTGTGCTCAGGGGGCACTACCCTTACCATGGGGTTCCATTCTTAATTCTTCTTTCCAATACTCTAAAAAATCTAGAAATACTAGGTATGTAACCCATATTCTATTTTATTGGTAGTCAAATTGATAAAATGAATATAGTTCCCAGTATTAAGCTGTTAGAAAGAAATAGACACAGAAATAAATCCCATATATTATTTAATAAGCTTTAAGAATTAACCACATATGGATTCCTCTGGTACTCTCTATCTTCCTTCCTTGTCTGCACCCTGCCCCCATGCATTTAGCACTTATCATCATCTCATATATTATATATATAATTTGTCTCCACCCTCAAGAATGCAAACTCCTGAAGAGCTGGGATTTCTGCCCATCCTGGTCACCGATGTGTCTCCAGCACCTAGGGCACCGAAAAGACACTAGACAATCTTTGTTGAATGAGTCACTGACAAATTAAATTAATGATATCACCTAATATTCTTTATTCTTGTTAGTGATGAAAATACATTTACCACTAACACACTAGGACAACTTATTTTCTTCATTCTCCTCTCTCTTATACCACCCTGGCCCAAGCCACCAACATTTCTCCTCCTAGAATAACACAATAAGTTTTGGTTATTGTGTTATCTTTAGATAAGAATTTTGCAAGCAGAAACAGATATAAAGAAAATTATACTCAGCAACACTATATACGTTTATGCACATCAGAAAAACAAAGATATATATATAGATGAACAAGTTTGAACTGTGCAGGTCCACTTATATGTGGATTTCTTCTGATAAATATAGGACAGTACTGTAAATGTATTTTTTCTTAATAATATTTGCTCTAGCTTACTTTATTGTGAGAATACAGTATAAATACATATAATATACTATATATATGTTAATCAAATGTTTGTGTTATTGGTAAGGTTTCGGTCAACAGTAGGTTATCAGCAGCCAAGTTTTGGGGGAGTTGAAAGTTATACATGGGTTTTCGACTGCAGGGGGTCACTACCTCTACCCTCTGCATTGTTCAAGGGTCAACTGTAAAACCACCTAACATAGCAAATGAAGCTTTAATAATTTGAAAATTATAAAACACTAATAATTTGGATAGAATCTAGCATGATTATTACTATTATTATTTAGAAATGCCTGCGAAACTAGAAGAGTAGAAAGTCTTCGAAGATTTGAGAAGACTTGGTGGGATGTCTACATGGGTCAAAAAGTCTTGGAGCCATCCCCAGCTTCTCTCTTTCTCTCATATTTCTCTCA